TAATAATCTCGTTATAAATATCTACTAAGTCCTTTCCCAGAGTTGTCCAGAAGGTTGCATAGAACTCCACAGGGAGTCCATCGTCACTTGGGACTTTCCCTCTCGCCATTGTACTCAGAGTGGATCTTGCCTCCTCCTCTGTAATTGGCCTATCCAGATCCAATCGCGCATGCACAGGTAAACGTGTTGACAGGTTGCGCCAATGGTCGTTGTTGTCAACCAGATTGGTTTTTGCACCCTCTCCTGCCCTTCTAGAGGTGAGTATATCTTTATAAAAGCAAGCAGCGTAGTTACAGAGCTCAGTGGGCCTCCTTGCCCTGAGCGCAGTGTCACAGAATGGATGGGCCAGTTCCTTCATCAACTGAGTCGATCTCCTAGGCAGCAACCGCTGGAAGGACTCCTTCGTCATTCTGTCGTAGACTGAAATGCCTTTTACTTTCAAGCGCTCTGACCAGCTCTCTGCTCTCTCTTGTTGGCGACAATTCCAGTCTTCCAGCCTTCTAGCTCTTTCTCTTCCCCATGTCAATGCTGAGATCGGGTGAGCCTGCGTCCGATTTTGGGCATACTCTACTCTTTTTAAGTAGAGACGATCCTGCTTGTTCGTCTCGAATGCCACGACTCTATATAATACACTCAGTAATTTAGAAATAATCTTCGAACCCACCTCCCACCAGTCCGCCTTCGAGGCAAACTGTTGACTGTCCATCTGGCCGAAAATTCTTCTACCCACTGTTTTAACTTAGGATCTGAGAGGATTTCCGTGTTTAGGCGAAAGTATCCTTTGCCTAATACCTGTGGTTCCCCTAGCTGGAAGGCAGCCATGATTGGGCTATGGTCTGAAAGTGGGTGCTGCGTGCATGGCGTTTCCCGTTGCCCCGATGTGAAAACCATTTGAACTCGTCATCTAGAGGGTGAGTAAGTCTGAAGGGGTCTGGGAGCTGAAAATCAGTCATGAAGTCCGTGACTGGTATAGTAGCCCTTCCCGCACTACTAATCCCCGATGATTTGTTTTCGTCCACAGATTGATTCCAGTCCCCTACGATAATCAGATTATATGGTAGGTCCTTCATAAATCTCTCTCTCCCTTTGCTTTTCACTGGAGCATAAGCAGTAGCAATGACCCAATACTCCTGATCGATACTTACCTTTACCCATGCCCAACGTCCCCATAAGTCTGAGTAATGATCGACAAGCTCAACCCTTAAGTTTCTATGGATAAGAAGGGATACTCCACCACTGGATCCTCCAGCTGGAGACCAGACTTGCGGACCGTCCCACCAACTGCCTAAATTCCTTATCTTCTCTTCGTTGAGTTTGGTCTCCTGTAGGCAGGTAATATCAATATGATTCTGATGGATCCATTGCTTCAGCCTAGATTTCTTACCTTTCTCTGTTGTGTACCCTAGCTCGCACACGTTCCAGGACGCTATCGAGACCTTAACCATTTATCCTTACCGCCCCCGACAGGATCTGGGAAGACTTCATAGCGCCTTGATCGCTTTCCTTACTGATCTCCCAAGGCTGAGTGAGAGTTTCTCGAACAAACAAAGATTCCAGTCTTTTGTCTTTGTGGAATCTGATTTTCAGTTTCGACAGGCATTTTGCTGACAGCCTGGAGGCCAGCATCAATGGACTTAAATCTTGTTTTTTGTCCTTTGCAAACCAGGACATGGGAACAAGTCTCATACCCAGTCTTTCCAATTTCTCCGTCATCTCTTCTGTCAACTTGGCATCCACCAATGGGATAAACAGTTTCACCTCCTGGCCGTCCGCTTCCGTTATAATACGTGCCATGGGGCAGTCCGAAACGACCCTCATCGGGAAGTAATTAACGTCCAGCATATTGAGAGCTTGCATAATCGTCTGTGGCAACGGAACGCCTGTCACCTGCTGTGACAGTAATGTAAGCGGAGCCGTCGTCGTATGCCAAGCCACCACCCAAAAATTACTTCTTATGAACGTGCAAACTAGCGGCATGAGGATCTGCTCCACTCTGGAGGTTTGACCTTTCACTAATGATGCCAACCGACGGTCTCTTGTTGTATTCTTCCCTGGAGTGACAGTTAACGAACTGTCTCGCGGAGAGTATGCCGAGGACCCGTCTGAGGCTTCTGTCCTGAGTTCCTTTGCCGAGCTCATGCTGAGCTTCCGTTGTTTGCCCACTTGTTTAGCTTGTTGTCGTGAGTCCTCCACTGTTCCTGAAGTCGGAACAGATTGGTTGATGTTCCTTAGTAAGCTCGATGAGTCGCTCCTCCGTGATTGACTTGGATCTGCCCTGACCCTAGTGGTTGACTTGGGTGTCCTCCTTGCTGGACTGCGACTTCCTCCCTGGCGCGTCCTCCACTTGCCGGGCTTTGATTCCCTAGTCCTGAGGCCCTAGCCACTGGATTTGGCTGATAGGCATAGCAGGCGGACAGGATAGCGGCGTGTTGTACAGGGAGAGGGAAGGGGAAGCCCCCCCCCCAAAGGGGGGTTTCTCAAACTGCCGCTCACAAACGCCTGCCCTTGATTGCTCCAGCTTGGTACCGCAGCTGGGTGGGTGCCCTGCATGCCAGGTTGCGGCCCCCCATAAAGGGCCGCTGCCATCTGTAATGTATTAGCAAAGGAGTTGCTTGCTTGTAGATGACCGCCTGGCGAAAACACTAGGTCGCCCCGCTTGCGAAGGCTGTGGGCCTAACGGCCCCTGATACTGCTGACAATGACCACCTCTTTGTCCGTTCGAAGATTGCGCTTGCGTTTGCTGATGAGGTTCGAAATTGTTTCCCGAACCTTCTCATCTTTGTTGTGGTCTGCCTCCTCTTCTTCACTCTGCCTCCGAATGGAAGAGTTGTCTGCACCGCCCGCACTTGATCGTTGTAGAGCAGGCCAATTTGATCTCCAGCTGGTCTCCCTTGGATGTGATAATCCGTAATTTATCCTTCATATTCCCTTGGGCCTCCGGTACGATGTCGAACTTAGCATTAACTAAGGCAGGTCTTGTCGGATCGGCGTCAGGCGGATGTGCCAGCACGATCTTTCCAATCGCGCTTTCTATTTGTGGATACAGAAATGGCATGTCATCGATAGGGACTTGGATGGCAATGACCCAAAAGGACCTGTCATCCTCCATGCGCCTTAGGTCTCTGAATTCAGCTCCCGTCGTCCAAGGCTTGATTTGAACTGAGTAGCGGTCCGTCCCCACCGGGAAATCGACACCGCCCTCACTCACCATGAACTCTGCTACCTCTCTCAATCTGCACACGTAAGAGAGGGCATTAGGGCCTTCCACTTTAACTCGACCTCTCCTCGATTCTAGTGGAAATCTTTCACTCCCAAGAATCCAACTGTCTTCGAAGGCACGCATTTCGGCAAAAATCTAGCGTTCTCCTTGAAGATCACCGAGACAGTTCTCTCCTTGAGCCACTTGACCTTAATTTCATCAAGAGATGTGTTCAAGGTAAACTTCACCTCTCTGCCTTGTACTTCCATATCGCCCGGATCCAAATCCGTTGGATAAACGCCGTCTTCAAAACACAGCGCCAGCAGTGACCTAATCCTGTCCTCGTCCTCCCAATAGTCCACCAGGTCTGAAGGGCCCGGCGGGGGAGAGCGAGCTTCCATTCTGATTCCACCATCGTCGTTGGGCCCTGGAACTGTACCTACATCTGGTCTATCTCCTCTTCCTCCTTCAACCTCCATTACTTCTGCCCTCGAACCGGCTGAACGCCACTTGACTCAGCTGGTGCTACTCCGCGTGAAATGAAGACAACCACTACAGTGGTAAGGTTGAGGTCAACTCTTCGTCGAAACCCGGCGGGTAGCTACCATGCCACTTTAACCTTATCTATCTACTTCGTTCGTCTCTATCATTCTTACAACTTGCTCTTACTTGCCGTTGGCGGCGGTCTTACCGACATACAACTAGGACTTCCGTCCTCCATAGCTGCTTCGCGCCGTTGTCGGGGGAAGAGTCGGAGTTCCCGAGGCGCTATCTCGCCGGTAGCATCTCGGGGGATTGAAGGGCCGTAGGCTGACGCAGTAACGCTGGGTGGAGCACTTAGCGCCGGCCGCAGCATTCTGTCACAGCGCCCAAGTTTTTCCCAACACAGGATTCAAGAAGACTATAGCTTTGAAAAAAAACAAAAGAAAAAAAGACTATAGATGTGATGCCAGTGGATGGAAGCTTGCATAACTGCCAATGCCAGTGACACCGGCGCTTGGCTGCTTCCCTAAGGAATTGCTCCGAGTATCAAGAAAAAAAGCCAAACGGCGGAAGAAATGTGTATTGATCGCAATGATGATGATGATGATAGATGATGATAGATGATGACAGATGATGATGATGCTAGATGATAACGTATGCTTTTGTGCCTTGATTTGGGGTTGCTCGACAGTCTAAAGACTCTAAAGAAAGCCTTGTATGAAGCTCTGGTCTTTTTTTTTTTTTTTTTTTTTTTAARAAARAAMAAGKGCYCCAGTCTATTCGTGGGGAGCAGCATGTGCTGGGAACCGGGCCCAGCGTCCCATATCGAATTATACAGGTCATTGAGAACATTTGAGGTCGTTTGAGGTCATTTGAGATACGGGGGCCATTACCCGGCTTCGGCTGAGAACAATCTGTGAACACGATGAGATTCAGAAACATGGGGAGGATCCTGAGTATCTAATGCCTGTTAGGGAATTACTCATGCAATAACCTGCCACAGAGGTCCTACGAAAGAATGCTAACTACCCTCAGGTTCCCTGACAAACCCTTCTAAGACTTCCCAACACCGTCTTACTCCCTGTCGAGCTCTTCCAGGCCTCACGCCCCCACCCTGCTGGGTTGCAGGGCAACACAACTCGCCCCAGCTCCGACCAGCGTCATACCAGCAGCAACCCTTGGTCGTCCCTTGGGATGCCCACCCCAAAGCTCTGGTCTAGTTCCAGTCTCTTTTTTTTTCTTTTTTGTTTTTTGTCCAGCCCCAAATTCTAAAAGGCCCTTTCTTTGTGTATTCAACTGTGCTCTTTTGCGGATGCAGAACCCTGTGAAGTGGCGACTGCATGTAGCACTGCTCCTCTTCCTTAGCAACGGAGGCAAGGCGATCCAAGGAGGAAAGTTCTTTGTTAGTTCAAGGAAAGTTCTTTGTCTGACCTCTCTGCCACAACAGTATGGATATGAGCACCAGTGCAGCAGGAGATGATGGCGATCTGGATGATCTTCTCAACAGTGCTTTGGACGAGTTTCAGAGGCAAGGGAAGTCGTTAGGCAATGGCAGTACGAACGTACGTGGATCGACACCTGTGCCACTGTGCGATGGGTCAGCGGAAGTTTGGCAGCGCGGGACGGGTTTGGCCGATGGCGCACCTGTTGCTTGCAGTTCAGCCACAGAATTCCTTCCCGATGTACAGGGTTTGGGTGGAAAGGGCCTACCTGCTTTGGCGCCGGATAGGCGGAGGGTGAAGAAGCCCTCTGGCCATGCAGCAGCCAGCGCCGCAGCTCCCAAAGGGGGGTCGTCCTCCGGCGTTAGTGAATTGAGTGGTCGTGACGGTGTCAGCGCGACGTTGCAAGCTTTGGCCAATCAGACGCGTCAAACTGTCGATCGGATGGATCCCAACGCAAATGAAGATGCGACTGATCAGGAGTTTGTCGAAAAGCTCATGCAGCAATTCGAGGCCCTCGGCGGATCCCAAGATATTCAGGGCTTGATGGAGACGATGATCAAGCAGCTGTTGTCGAAGGAGGTCCTGCACGCGCCGATGATGGAAATTTCGGAGAGGTATCCGGTCTGGTTGGAGGCGAACAAGTCGAAGATCAGCGAAGAGGATTACAAGCGCTATGCGAAGCAACTTGAACTGATGAGGAGTTTGTGCGAAATGTACGACACACGACCCGATGATTTTGAGCGAATCATGGAGCTGATGCAGCAAATGCAGGATTGCGGCAATCCTCCTAGCGAGATTATGAAGGAGCTTGCGCCGGGCCTGGATGTGGGAAAGGATGGACTGCCGGTGTTGCCCGACTTATCAGCCCTCGCTGGAATGGCGGGCGGCGGTGCTGGGGGCTTACCCGATTTGGGGGGACAAGACGTGCCGCCTCAATGTACAATCTCCTAGCGCATCAAGTCGTGTTTCCCGCTTGGGAACAAGGTGAACCTTAGATTCTAGCAGAGTCAATCAATGTCTAGGGTGGTCTGGTCTATGTCTAGGGTGTGGTGGTTGTGCAGCCTTTTTGCAAGGCTTCTTCCTTGTTGGGGTCGATGTCTACAGTTTAGGGAGGGTTGTGCAGCCTTTTTATGCAAGGCTCCTTGGTAGCTCTAGATCGGATTGTTCCTTATTTGTTGATCAGAGAGTTTACCTTCAAGTTTTCACGGATCGGAAAAGTTTGGCTCCGGTATGTGTCATGAACTGTTGAAAGACAGACGGCAGTTCGAATCGCAATGAACTCAGACGAGTAAATAGTCTGAGTAAATAACTCTGAATGTACCTGGGCCTGGTTAGTTTGAAGATGATATCCCAAGGCCTTCACCATTTCTTTTCTTTTTTTTTTTCTTTTTTTTCTGTTTTTTTTTTTAAGGAAAAGTTTTGCTCTGCTATGGGTCATGAGGGGGTGCGAGAGGAATTGGTAGGTAGGTCTCTTAAACCACCACTACTTCCGAGGCATTTTTCTTCGACCCTGGAAATGCCCTGCAAGCTAAAACGAAACGAACCGGTGCGGCCTCCTTTTTGGCCGGCCCCGCAAGCCATTTCGCTTCGAAGGCTGAGCCGCGAACGTTGCGCCGCTCGCACGAAAACGCCCCGCGGTCGATGTACGGGCCAAGTGCTGGTGGTTTGACGAGTACCGGAGTTGCACATCGCGAGGATCGCCGTGATGCACTGTCGATCAGACAATCAAGTGAGCTTTCGGTGATCCTCAGTGCATCTTCTGCTGACTTGCATGATGAGTTGATTGATGAGTTGATTGTCGATCAGAGAATCAAGTGAGCTTTCCGTGATGCACATCAAGTAAGATTATGAATGGTTGTGATGGAATGACATGCACGAGGAGTTGATTGTGACACACATGATGAGTGCAAGTGATCAGATGAGATGACAAAGGTGGTGTTGTCTGCAATTGAAGTGTGTTTCACCATCCTCACGCAGCAGATGATTCACAAGGAATTGACTGGACATTTCGCATTTCCTCCCATGCGGGTCCGCGGACTGTGCAACGCCGGACGCGGTTCCCAGCACCTGCTGCTCCACCCAAATAGATTGGAACATTTGTCCCATATAATAAATAAATAGATATAAATAACTGAATAAATAAACTAGGCTACCAGAGTGGCCTGGGACCACTAGCCCGGGCGAGGTGGAAAAAAAAAACGAGATATATATATATACAGGGTTACCAGCCCGTACGTACGGAGGCCCCCGGGCGGACCTCCGTACGTTCGGGCGTTCGGGGTCCCGTACGGGGCCCAAACCCGACGGCGTTCGGCCCCCGCAAAAAATTATTTCGGGGCCTAAAAATATATTTTTTTTTTTGAATTTTGTTTTACGAGTTCTCTATGACGTGAGGTACATGCCTATAAATTTTCAAGTCATTTGGCTTAGCCAAATGAGAATTAAAAATCGCCAAAGATGGCGGTGTCAAAACGTGCTCGCCCACGTTTTTTTTCACTTTTTACTTTTTGTTTTCACTTTAGTTTGGGGTGTAAACAATTTTATTATTTTGTGAAACTTTTTTAGTGGGTTTTGTATTATGTGAAGTACACATCTGTAAATTTTCAGGGCATATAGCTGTGCCAAAAAAAAATGAAAAATCGCCAAAGATGGGGGTGTTGAAAACATGCTCGCGCACTCACGTAATTTAATTCTCTTTTTATTTTTATTTATTTTACTATTAGTATTTGTTCTGTGTATTTTATTTTTATTTCAAATTTGGTAAGGAATTCGGACGTAATGCTCAGGCAAATCTTGTTTAATTTATTTTTCTCCATAACATATCTTTTTTCAGATTTTTCTGATGAGTTTTTTTTTTTTTGTTTTTTTTTTGTTTTTTGTTTTGTTTTGGGTCCGCATTCGGCCCGAACGGCCGAACGCATTCCCAAGGGGTCCCATACGTTCGGGCGTTCGGGTTCGGGCGAACGCCGGTTACCCTGTATATAGTCGGTGAAACTCCGACGAAACAGTTTGTCACAGCCCCTCGTTTGTTGTCCTCTTCTCCCTCTCTGCCTACGGTTTACCGGGCAGTTCTATTTGACGATATATATATATATATATACACGGTAACCGGCGTTCGGGACGGGCCGAACGCCCGAATCCGAACGCCCGAACCCGAACGCCCGAACGTATGGGGCCCCTTGGGGATGCGTTCAGCCGTTCGGGCCGAATGTGGACCCATACTTCACATAATACAAAACCCACCAAAAAAGTTTCAAAAAATAATAAAATTGTTTAGACCCCGAACTAAAGTGAAAACAAAAAGTAAAAAGTGAAAAAATACGTGGGCGAGCACGTTTTGACACCGCCATCTTTGGCGATTTTTAATTCTTATTTGGCTTAGCCAAATGACTTGAAAATTTACAGGCATGTACCTCACGTCATAGAGAACTCACAAAAAACAATTCAGGAAAAAATAATTATTTTTAGGCCCCGAAACAATTTTTGGCGGGGGCCGAACGCCGTCGGGTTCGGAGCCAGTACGGGACCCCGAACGCCTGTACGTATGGAGGTCCGCCCGGGGACCTCCGTACGTACGGGCTGGTGACCCTGTATATATATATATCGTCAAATAGAACTGCCCGGTAAACCGCAGGCAGAGAGGGAGAAGAGGACAACAAACGAGGGGCTGTGACAAACTGTTTCGTCGGAGTTTCATAATTTGGTAAAGAATTTCGATGTGACACTAAGACTATAGGCAATGGATGTAAGATGGATTGATTTCTGCTTGCTGATTTGGAATTTGTTTTGCCATGTTTCGTTGTTTTCCTTTTGTTTTGGTCTATTTTTTTTCCCTCTTTAGCATCTAAGGTGGATAGTGTATTAAGAGGGTAGATTGTCTTTTTAAAAGTTTTTGAAGTATATTGTTGCGTGATGGAATTTTCTGAGTGAGATGTGGAGCTGTTGGGAGAAGGAGGTGGTTTGGTGGTGGATGGTAGTAGTCGATCCTGCAAAAAAAAAAAAAAAAAAAAAAATGCTGGATGCAGAGAGAGAGAGAGAGACAGAGAGAGAGAGAGAGAGAGAGAGAGAGAGAGAGAG